AGAAATGACTGATTCCAAGTTCAGGTCAAAGGTCAGCCCGAAAGCAGGGAGGTGCCGGGAGACTGGCGGGGACACACGGAAAGGGCTTCAGAGCGGTTGTCTGCCAGTGGGCAGAGCTTGAACCATGTGAGCACGATGCCGAGGGCTACAACACACCGAACAAAACCGAGAAAAACACCAAGAATCCATGAGTTTAAATGGAATTTAAAAATCACCATTTTCAACGCCCAGTACACAGATTATAAATATCATCCATCGACGATCCTTGGTGCAATCAGCCAAGCCTCCAGCACGAGCCCCTCATGTGCCGCCACATGTTCATACTCATGCCAAGCTGGTCTCACCTGGATCTAGTCGGGAGGAGCCAGAAACGCCCAGCGTGGGGCGCAGCCTGGGAGCAACCTGCCTGGGCTCCTCCAAAGAGTTGAATGGAAAATAGACAATAAAGGAAACGTGCAGGGACTGTTCTGGATTAAGACACGGGAGAGACATAGCAACCGAATGTAACGTGTGAACTCTGATTGGACCTTGGGTTTTTTTTTTTTAATTTTTTAACAGCCATGAAAGCCATATGGGGACGATTAGAGAAATCTGAACACAGCTCGCATACATGTCTGATTTCTGAAGCATGCTAACACGTTGTGTGTCTAGGAGAACATTTATATTCTCAGTGGGTGTGTGTTTAAGTCTTCAGGGGTGGGCGTCATGATCTCTGTACGTTACGACCAAACGGCTCAGCAAACCGGAGACAGAACAGGAACGTGGCAGAGTGTTAACAGCGCAAAGGAAAACACACGTTCACCGGACTCTTCTTCCAACGTTTCTGTAAACTTGAGATTTTTCACAACGGAACCTTGGGGAACACTGATACTTCTGATGCTCCAGGACACTGACCAGGAGAGGAATCTTGGGCCTCTCCCAGCAAGCCTTCCATGAATGCCTAGTTCACGGCGCACGCAGGGAGGGCAGTGAGCGGCTTGGGTAGCCCGTCCACAATGCGCAGGTGCAGGAGACTTGCGGATCCCCAGGAGGGGAACACATAGTGATCACGCTGCCATCTGCTGAGGTAGCCAACACTGGAAAAGGAGCTAATTTTAGAGGGAAAGGAGGTGCAACACCCCATTCAGATGGACCTCCACTGACTCCCAAAGCCCACGGCAGCCCAGGGCTGTGAACCCCCGATGTAGGAGACAGAGCACAGAGCGTGGGACGCAGGGAGCAGAGAGGAGTGATGGATACAGGAAAGGAGGCCATGCCGGAGACCAGGAAGAAACAGCCAGCGGGGCGGGGGACCAGGAGGCGTGGGTGAGGCCACGGACACCAGGAAGAGGGTCCAACCCAGCCGATAGCACTGAGACGTCAAACACGCCAGGGACACTTGTGAGTGATTGACACACGGGTCTGTAAAAAACAAGCGTGTACCCCTGCCCACGTGACGGCCCTGGATCCACCGGAGGGAAGACCCCGGGGAGCCCAGATGCACCCAAACGCTGCTGGCATCCCCCCCCACTGCCGCGAGCCCCCTCACCTGTCCTACTGCTTCAGAGCCCCTTCCAGCTCTTTATCCCACCTGGTCCGTGTCTCCCTCCCACAGAGGCTGCCCGGATGCCCAGAGAGCCCAGCATTCTCGCTCCCTCCTCCCTGGGTGTTCTCCCTTGTTTGGTGCTTTCTAGGGAAGAGGCAAGCCCAGGCATTTTTCATGTGCTCTTTGGGCCAAAGCAGGACCAAGAACCAAGAGATAAGAGATCAAAGGCTCCGAGAGCGAGGGAGACGAGACAGATAGTCATTTATCTGTCTCATTTACCACTTAGCAGGAGCCGTGATCCACAGGGGTGTAGAGGTGAGAGCAGGCCAAGAGAAGGAGCGCAGAGGGCTCGAGTTGCCCATCAGACAGGCACAACGGATGCACCAGAACACACAGGTCACCCGTCACCGGTTCAAGAAACCCAGTCCCGAGCTGGTTCCGCTGGGTCAGTACGACGTCCCACCCCAAACTGACCAACTTTACCAGCATTTTTAGCTGGCCACCCAGTTACCTGGAGTCCTGCAAATAACATCCCCTGCCTGCCTCCTCCGGTTACCGGACACCCACCACCGCGGCGGGGGAAGCTGAGAACTTTTCATCATCTCGCCCATTTGCGAAATTCACTGGCTTTAACAAACTGTTCCCCAAACACCTGGCCTGTCCGTGCTCCTCTAACCGGCATGTGCTGTATCATATTCAGAAAGTGCTTATAAGCTCTCCCTTGCCTTGAGAAATAACCCATCAGCTGTCAAAAAAGCTAAAGCCCATCTTGGCTCTGGTGAAACGTTCACGTCAGGGAAACACAAGCCAATCTGGTCAAATTTAATAAGTTTTAACCAAAGCCAGGTGAAGGACTCTATGTGGAAAAGCAGGAGAATCTTACAAGCACTCTGAGAAGTAATTTTCTCTGGGGAGGGAAAAAAAAAAAAAAAAGATGTACCCTGGTGAAAAGGCACCTGAAATTGGACGCCACAGAAGGGAACTTTCATGTAACCCTGATCCAACGATGTGGTTGTAAATGTCCTCAGATATGCTGCCTTTCTGCATTTTCTGCCCCAGCCTTGGAACCCACGGGCTTTGTGCCCTAGAGGGAATCAAGTTTAAAACCCACTAAGTCGCGAGAGCCCTCGCCAAAGACCACAGACGAGATCATCATAGAACCTACTTTAAAGATATCTCATCTGTGTCATTCTGAATGTGAGACATGAAGAACACCACTCCTCCGGTTTAAGAGAAATTGTCCCTTACTCTGGCAGGATCTGCTCTATTTTATGTGCAAAGGTGCAAGGCCACGTCTGCATTTCAGGAGAGCTCCACTTAACACGTGTGAATACTCAGTAACATATAGAAATCCTTTTGTATAGAGCCCTGGTATTCCCAAATTGGCTTTAGGTTTGAAACCCTAAGCTGCAGCTTGGAAAAAAAATAAGTAACAGGCACCGTGTCTTTGCTAATAAGAAGGCTCACCCTCCAGAGACTCCAAGAACAAGAGGGAAAGGGAAGAGTTCCCACTGTGGGGAAATCTGAAGGATGGAATAAGACTTTAGCCCCAGCAAACAAATCTGCAGAGCTTCTGCTCACCCTCCTGGCAAGTTCTGCCATGTCCCTCCTCACACCCGAAAGAGCTCCCACCATGTCTGTCCTCACACCCCCACAAGCTCCCACCATGTCCCTCCTCACACCCCACAAGCTCCCACCATGTCCCTCCTCACACCCCAATGAGCTCAACCATGTCCCTCCTCACACCCCAAGCTCCCAACATGTCCCTCCTCACACCCCAACGAGCTCCCACCATGTCCCTCCTCACACCCCAACGAGCTCAACCATGTCTCTCCTCACACCCCCACAAGCTCCCACCATGTCCCTCCTCACAGGCCAAAGAGCTCCCGCCACATCCCTCCTCACACGCCAAGCTCCCAACATGTCCCTCCTCACACCCCAAAGAGCTCCCACCATGTCTCTCACACCCCAATGAGCTCCACCATGTCCCTCCTCACACCCCAACGAGCTCCCACCATGTCCCTCCTCACACCCCAATGAGCTCCTACCATGTCCCTCCTCACAACCCAACGAGCTCCCACCATGTCTCTCACACCCCAATGAGCTCCACCCTGTCCCTCCTCACACCCCAACGAGCTCCCACCATGTCCCTCCTCACACCCCAATGAGCTCCACCATGTCCCTCCTCACACCCCAAAGAGCTCCCACCATGTCTCTCACACCCCAATGAGCTCCACCATGTCCCTCCTCACACCCCAACGAGCTCCCACCATGTCCCTCCTCACACCCCAATGAGCTCCACCATGTCCCTCCTCACACCCCAAAGAGCTCCCACCATGTCCCTCCTCACACCCCAATGAGCTCCTACCATGTCCCTCCTCACAACCCAACGAGCTCCCACCATGTCTCTCACACCCCAATGAGCTCCACCATGTCCCTCCTCACACCCCAAAGAGCTCTTCCCCTACAACCCAAGGAACACGCATGTGAGTCTGAGAAGGCATACCGGCTCTGGCATTTGGGGCCTGTTGCATGAGCTGAAGGCATATTAACTCCTTAAGGGAAATTCTGGGAGTCTGTGCCTAAAATCCACCCTAGTTGAAAAGGGCTCCTGAATAAGCTAACGGGTGCGTTTGTGGAATCTAAAGATGTGCTGCTAGAAGCCTCGCACGAGGACCTGTGAACATAAACCAGCGCTCCTCGACGGGACCGCAGCGGGGCTGGCCGCTGCTGTCCGCGGTTACCCCACACCTGCCCATCAACGGGGAGCGGGGACTCGCGGTTCTCGCTCCCCCAACAGCACAGAAGAGGGAGACGGACCAAGCAATGCGAAAATGTGGCTGTCCACTCCCCGGGCAGAGTTTTAGGGACAGAAGCAGATGAGAGGTGGGGGAGGGAATTTAAGCAGATTTTCACTGGAAATGCTTGCAAAATCTCCTGTCCACAGGCCCCACGTCTACCAAACAGAAAGAACAAATCCCAAGTGAAGTCTGACACATCTTTACGTACGGTCAACAATATAGACCCACGTATTTTCCATAGATCCCTGCAGCAAATCCCCTAAAAAATGTGAATAAAAACTACCTCTCTGCACAAAGGGCCTCGTCCTTCCCTAAAAGCGTTAACCTCCCGAGAGCCTATTCTTAGCCAGGCTCCCGGGAAGGACGGGGCGCTCTGGGACCAGGCGACAGCCCTTCCCATCCCCCCAGAGCACCAGGGTGACTTGAAGGTCATCTGCTGCCCAGGGCCGGGGGGAGATTAGGTGGCTCCTTCCCAAGACGTGGTCTTCCGTGTCCGGCTGCCGCTGGGGTGTCCTCCCCGCTCCCTGGCAGAGGCCCAGAGCGAGGCAGGAGAGGAGCCTGCCACAGCGCGGGGATGTACAGAACTCTGGGTGTTGCGATAAAGCACACCTGGTGAGCAACGTGCCCCCGTGAAGCCAACGCATCAAATTCACCCGCGGGAAAACGATCTCACATTCCAGAATCCACAGGCAAGCCTTTTATTTGAAGGGAGGTAGTCGCTTAGCACCAGTCGCGCTCTGGTAGCGCTCCCTCCTCCGTGGAGCCCTGGCCGCGGCCCACGCAGAGCCCGGCGTGCAGGGCCCCCATCCAGCAACACAGCGGGCCGCCCCGCTCAGGGAGCACGAGCCGCCCCACAGTCTCCCCCCCCGGGCTGGCCCTGGCCATCCAGGCCCCACGGGCTTCATTCAAAGCGACGCAGGTGGTTGTACAGGGACTGGACGTAGGTGAAGACACACATGGGGTCCGGCTTGGGGCCCATCGCCATCATGTCCTCCACCTCGATGAGGCGCTCGCAGTTGGCCAGATTCCTGAAACACAGAAGCCCCGTCAGGACAAGGGCCCCGGTCACCAGCCGGCCCCGCGGCCGGAACTGCGGCGCCCCCCACCCCAGGGCCTTCCGATGACCCCAGGAGACCCCGGGGAGACCGCTGCATCCAGGGACCACCAAGTCAACTCACTTCACAGACTTCCTGGTTGCAAGTTTCAGTGAAATTAAAGTTCACTTTCACTAAATTCACTTATAAGTGTTAGAATTCTGTTAGCGAAATTTTACTTTAATTTAAAAATGAAGTTTCCACTAAAAAATTCAACGTATATCGACAGGATGTGGAGATTCAGCACAAACTATAAAACGTAAAACAAAGAAAGTAATAAATTCACCCAGGCAGCTCCTAAACGGTCTCTTTATTTTATTATTTTTTTTTTTAGAGAGCGAGCGAGAAACAGCATGAGAGGGGAGAGGGTCAGAGGGAGAAGCAGGCTCCCCGCCGAGCAGGGAGCCTGATGCGGGACTCGATCCCGGGACTCCAGGATCATGACCCGAGCCGAAGGCAGTCGCCCAACCAACTGAGCCACCCAGGCGCCCCTAAACGGTCTCTTAAAACGTTTACGAGACCCATGCTTGGAGACACGGCACGCAAACGTGCCCAGGGTTGCACAGAGGTGCTTTCTGCCCCCGAGATTTCCCCACAGTGCTTGTTTCTCCCCCCCCCCCCCCACTTAAGGTGGGCAGGAACCGCTCACCCGATTTCACGACCTGCTGGCTGACGGGTCCCAAGGGCAAGGTCAGGACGTTGCCTACACCCCCCTCGGCCCCCCGGCCCCCCTTGCCCCACACTCTGGGAAACGCTGGTCTAGCCTTGGGCCCCAGTGTAGACGGGAAGCTGGGCGTTCTCTGGGCTGGAAAGCGGGTTCCCCGGCATCCCAGCTCCCGTGGCAGCACCCCCAGTGACGGGTCAGCGCCGTGTCCTAAGAGCGGGTGTCCTTCCAAACGCTACCCCGTGACTCCCGGGGCGCCAGAATCGCAGGCCTGGTGGGGTCAGGCGGCACCGACTGGGCTCAAATGCCCACACCCAGTGCTGTCAGCGTCCGTCCCTCCGCAGCTGAGCGCGCGTCACGGTCCCAGCCTCCCCCATGAACAAGCAGGTGACTGTCGGCGTTCATGACCCAGCCCTGTCCTCCCTGACTTGGGGTAAGAAAGACACATCACTTCTCCTAGCCTCCGACTGCCCCGGCTGGTGTAACCGCCCCGCGAGCCGGGTGGTAAACGTCGGCGGTGCTGGTCATCTCTGTCATTGTGCTCGATGTAAGGAGCAAGCGCGTGGACGGGAAAGGTCGGCATTTGGAATCTGAGCAGCTGGGTGCAGAGGCTAGCTCTGCTCCTCACACCCCCGTCCTGGACTTGCACCCCGGGGCCCGCGGGCCGGTCCTGGGGGCCCCGCACACGGGACTGGACCACGAGCTCGGGGCCCCGCCCTGCGTGCTGGCCGGATGCCAGGCCTCCTCTCAGACCCCGAAGGTCAGTGAAACACGGACATCTGTCCCGGATGGGCCCACTGCCAACTCCCCCTTGGTCTGGAGCGGGTCCCTGTGAGGGAACCCAGTGGCTTCGTGAGGTGATGGGGGGCTTGGCCCCAGGCAGGGCACCCTGGCATCCCCGACGGGCCAGGGCGGGGCTCCGCGTCAGGGAAGCGTGCGCTCTGACAAAGGACAGGCCTATATGGGTGCTTTGTTGGTGGGGCGGGGCTGCAAATCCAAGGCCTTCTGACCTGAGTGCACCTTCCCAAGCGATCAGTCAGCACCTGCCCACCCACCCGCCCACCCAGGGCTGCCTCCCAGGATCCCAGGTGAGCCGACCCCGCACATACACCGGGCCATCCCCCCGACGCTGGGCTCCGCGGTCCCCAGGTTAAACGAGAGCCATATTAAAACCCCGACCCTCAGCCCGGAAAGAGAACTGAGTGCCGGCCTCCGAGCACCGGGGAGGAGGGAGGTGCTCTCTCCTCGGCGGCCCCGCTCGGCTGGCTGTCCTCCAGGCCCAGGCCAGGGGCCCTCTTCCCCCAAGGCCAGGAAAGTTGCCCTCACATTTCTCATGCTAGTTTGCCTCCGGGTCCTTCCTACCTACTGGCCCCACAAGTCCATCCTCAGCCTGATTTTTTCCCACATCTCACGCTGGAAGAGAATCTTCCGAAAAATCTCCCTATCGCGTCTTTCCCCGAAAATAAATAGCTCAAAGGACACCAGGGATTCTCTCCTCTGTGCTGGTTCTAGCTTCTTTCCCCCCTTATTACCGGAGGGTGCCCTTACCGGACTTGCGCAATCAGGGTGGTGGTGGGGACGGGCACGAAGGCCTCACCACGGCCTCCGCCCCCATGACCCAGACGGGAAGCTGTGGGCAAGGTCCCAGCTTCCCAGCAAACAACCAGGGCCCTGGTCCCCACCCTGCCAGCCACACGGTCACGTCAAGACTCCTAGAAGATGCACACACAGGCTGAATGAGATTTCAGAATCAGGATATGAGAAGAGGAAGATGATGATCGGGACAGACTTTTATAAAAATACGTAAGCCTCAAAATATCAGAGGCCCCAATCGCCCTAAAAAGTTGATGCATAACTGACAGAACGTTGCATGAAGTGCACACCCAGTTGCCTTTTAAATCAACAAGCTGCTTTTGTGAAGGCCACACCAGCTTGTTGAAAGAACTCAGACGCCACGGAACAGTCCAAAGGAAAAAGGACCACCACCTTTGGATGAGTTCACGCAGCCGCACCTTGCCTGGGGTTAGGAAGGGTTCAGAGGATTCTCCTACTCCAGCTCTATTCTATCTTCCGTCCACACGGGGTTGGCCTGTGAGGGACGTGGAGGAGGGACCGGAGGGGTTATTTTTATTTAAGCCTCCCCTAAATGCAGATGCCAGGCTCGGACTACAGCCTCCTGTCTGGTTTCAGACAGACACACGTGGGTACTACAAATAGCCTGAAGCCCCTTCGGCTTGGGCGTAACCGGAGAGCAGGACACACTCCCGCAGGGCAAGCGGGAGCCTCGGGCCACACATCCGGCTCTGGGCCTGCCCTCGGCCTGGGGCTGCGGGGGGCAGGGTGCAGAGGGCAGGCCGCCACACACCCACCGCAGCCCCTTCCATAAAAGGGCTGGTCTTCCCGCTCTACAAGCCGGGACACCTGTCCAACAAGGGAGCTCACTCCGCTGTCAACACCGCATTGCTCGCACAGATTAGGCCGCGGGGAATCTCTGGGACGGTCCGTGACTGGGAGGAGGGGCAGCCCCAACCCCTTACACGGCAAAGGTTCCCCAGGCATCTTTGTGTCTCTACGGCCCTTGCTCGCAGAAGGGTCTGGAAGCACTTCCTTCCTGATGGGAGGTGAACCCCGTGTCTGAGGGGCCTGTCCGTCCTCCATCCCGCACCGTCTGCTCCTGACCAGCCTGCTGTCCAGGGAACCAGGTGACCCAGGCTGCCCCTGTGAGGTCATCTCCCGCAGGACTCCCAGGGGAGGCCCCTTCCCAGACCCCAAACAAGCTCCCCATACAGGCCTGCCCAGCACACACCCCCGGCCCTCCTCAAGGCGGCAGAAAAGCCGGAACTCATCTCAGGAGCAGGCAGACCATCCTCCCCTCCCCAGACACGAGCAGGCCACAGGGAGGCAGGGCCAGGCTGCTGACCCCATTTGCTCTGGGGGTAAGAAAGCAAACCTCGGAGCGGCCTGCACCATCGCCTCCCAGGCTGGGAATAGAAAAAATGTGCGTTCCGAGTCTGGAGGTTCCATGAGCCCAACCCTCGTGCTGGGAGAGCGTAGCCGCAGACGGCTCTGGCTCTGGCCGCCGGGTTTGGTGGGGGGGCTGTGTTCCCCGCGATCTGCCATGCAGGGATGCAGGGCCACCACTCTCCCTGCTCGGCCCAGCCTGCTCCAGGGCACGGCCCCCTGGTCCTGACGGAAGAGAGCTCCAGGGGCCACATGCGGCCTCGCCGGCTGGGGTGGGCCTCCACGTGCCCGCGTCAGGGCCCCAGCCCCGCACACGCGGTCCGCGGTTTGACCGCCACCCTGCCTGGGCTCCCAGCAGCTGGGCCTCCCCCTGCGAGGCGCCCCTCCCCAACACCGTGCCGTCCCCCTTGGCTCTGCTTCACCACCGTCTGGGTCCAGTTGCATAACACGCTCCATCCAGAGCTGTTTCTGTGATTAGGATGACAGCTAATCCCAAGCAGCCAAGAAAGAGAAGGCTTTTAAAGGATACAAGGAGTTCTTGGGACCCCAAGGGGGCCCAGAGTCCAAGCGTGTCGCCCGAGACCACACCACAGGGGCAATACCAACATTCCTACGGCTCAGCCAAGAAGCTCGGAGCCAGGGTCTCCATCCCGTCCCCAGAGCGGGAGCTGTGGCTCGGGAGAGGGGCGGCACCCTCAGCTTCCCTGGCCAGGCCCGGGGTCCGGGCTTGGAGCGCGGCCTCCCCCTGCTCAGGGCACTGGGTGGGCATGCGCAGATGCTCAGGGGACTGATGTCACCAGGCAGAGAGGCTGTGGGAGGAGAGATAAGCGTTCCCTCCAGGAAACTCAGCTTTCGGGGGACCTTCCTTCCCTCTGACCTTCTTCCCCTTGATTCCTGGAAACTGAGCACCAGGCGGCCCTAAACATCCTCCTCTGTGCCCCGTCTCCAGGCTCCCCGGCCCTCTGCGTCCTGACAGTGTTCAGCCAACAGGAGGCCCTGGCGTGAGGACAGAGCACTTCCTCCCAGCCCCCTGCCCGCAGGCCACTGGGAGCTGGCCCATCCACGGCCCTCTCCCCGCAACTGCTCTCCACCACCCCCAGAACGCCAGGCAGACCAGCCCCGGGGGACTGCCTGCGCCCCCACCAGAACCCTGGTGCATCACGGGCTGCCCCGAGCCGACCACCAGATCCCAGCCTGGGGATCCCAGAACCTCCCCCCACCCAATCTCCCTCCGGTGAGGGGGTCTGAAGAAGGAGGCGATTGCGTACCAGATGCATTTAGAGAAGCAAAATCGACTTATTGCAGACGTTTTCAAAATGTCTCCCAAGCAGATGCTATTCGATTTCCTCCTCACCCAAAAGCAACGGTATCTCCCCACCAGCCCTGAGAGGACAGGCGGGGTGCCCCGGGAGACCCCACCGCACGGCCCCCCGTGCCCTGTCGGTCGGTGGCTGGTCTCCCAGACCGCACACACACCAGGGACCAAGGCACCCGGCAGGAAGGGCAGGTGTGGCGAGCCCTCCTCGGCGAGTCTGGGCGACCGCTCCCCCCAGCTGCCCGGCAGGCGGGCGGAGTGGAGGGCCTCCTGTCCTGCCTGCCCCATGCTCCCCCACCCCCGGGGCAGACGCCGGCTCAGGACCCGCCACACTCACTCCGCCATGGAGAAGGCCAGCTCGAAGTTCCTCTGCGGCTGCGCGGGGCTCAGGGCGCTGTAGTCGAAGGCGTCGGGGAAGAAGGAGTGCACCAGGGCGCAGAAGGCCATCCCGTCACTCCAGCTGGAGGAGAAGTTCTGCAGGTCCACGTGCTTCCGGCCGGCCGGGGGTCAACGCAGGGAGGTGAGCAGGTCCGCCCCAGCAGCCCCTCCCGGCGCCCACCCGGCCCACAGGAGGCCCCAGGGATCCGGGCACGGGCTGCGGGCAGGCGGCGCCGGGCTGGGGGGCCCCGGGCTCACCTGGTAGCCGAGAGTCTTCTTGCGACACCACTGCAGCAAGAGCTGCTTAATGCTGCCGGCGCCGACCCCAAAGCTCTGGGACCGCTTCAGCTCGGCCCGCACCTCTCCCTTGCCCCTGTGCCAAGAGCCAGCCTGCGGCGGGGCGCTCCTCCTCCCCCCAGGGCCGGCCAGGAGGATGCCCCACCTGCTCTGCGCCCCCGGGAGCCCCCTGACAACATCGGGCGGCCCGCCCTCCCTCCAGCCCCCAAGCCCCGTCTCTCCCACACTGGGAAGCAGGGGTCCCGAGCCCGCGTGGCCCCCCTTCCCTTCACCCAGCTGCCCCAAGGCCACCCTCACTGACAGGGTTCCTTCCTGGCCAGAGAGGGGGTCCTCCTCCAGGGCCGTCGGGCTCAGTCTCCCTCCCTGCTGGGAGGGCGCCAGGATGGGTGTGTCCCCCCCAGGCCTGGGTCCCACCCCGCACACGCAGGTGTCATGCTGAGAGCTGGATCCCTATGCAAAGACCAGCCCTGTCTCTCCGAGGGCCAGGGTGTCGCCCCACAGCTCCCCCTGGGAGCCCCTGTCACACCCAGGAACCAAGGGAAGGCGGCGGAGGGCGGCCTGGGGCACCCCTGGGACGGGGCAGGAGAGGGGCTCTCGTCAAGGGGGACAGGCAGGGCCAGCTCCGCTGAGCTGCGCCCGCCGGGCCCCCATCTGGGGCTGGGCCCCCACGCTGGGCGTGAGCATCCGTACTTGCCAGCGGTATCCTGCTCCCACTTCTCAAACAAGGCCTTCCGGGCCTGCGCTCCTGACGTGCGGGGCAGCGTCTGAGACCTCACCAGCTCCCGGCGCCGGGCCTGGGTGGTGGCTGGCGGCGGGGGGGACGGGGGCGACCGGGGCGGCGTCGCCAGGGGTGGGCTGAGGAGAGAACCAGCGTGTTGGGAACAGCCAGGCCCCCAGGCCCAGGGTCCCCCCGCCCCACAGAGTGACCGAGGCAGAAGAAGGGGCAGGAACAGAGGAGGGACCAGCCCGCCAAGCGGTGTGGGGATCCACTCTGCCCAAGCTCCTGCTGGGCATAATCACCCAGCCCTCAGCAGGTGCCAGTTCCTGTGGCGGGCAGGGCGGCGTACCCCAGACCCCCGACCCCCACTAGATAAGACCCCCTTTGTTTCAAGTCACAAATTTCCTTTACGATTGCAAGAAAGCCAAGCCCGCCCCCCACCGCCCTCCCAGCTCCAGTCACAGTCCGGCTGGCCTGGGGGGAGCCCCCACACACCTGCCCCAGCCCCGGGGCCTCTCCAGGTGCCTCCTCCGTCCTGTCTGTCCCGTCCGGGCAGGAAGCACCCGGTGGAGGGAGCCCCGCCAGCCGGGACGAAGACAGCCTCCCACCTCCTCAATCCTGGCCCAGACCTGATCTGAGGAGTCCACGCAGACACAGCTGCAGCCGTATCCAAACAAGACTGTCCAGGGGGAGGCCTGCCTTGCCTCCCCTGCACAACCCCCCCCCCCCCCACACTGCCCTGCTGCCCTGGCTCTCAGCTCTGGCTCAGCACAGGGTCCCTCCCTCCTCTGGTGGCCGGGGAGCCCGAGGCCATCCTGACCCACCTGTCGCTGCTCCTGCCTGTGGACGCTGCCCCGTAGCCAGCGCTCGACCGTGGGACGGAAGGGTTCTTCTCTGTGGGACGAGGAGAGAAGAGAAGTAGCCCTGGGCGCGGGGGACCAGCCGCCGGCCCCCCTCCCCTGCCCCGGCATCACTCCCTGGACAGTCAGGTGCCCCAGGCTCCGCGGGCCCCACCTCGGCGAACAGTTGAGGGAGAGGAAGCTGGGAACATAGAGCAAGGACATAAAAGCTCTGTATGTGTCCCCACCCTGCGTTTGAGGGCACAGGGCATCCCGAGCCTCGTATCCAGCAAGCACTTTGTTCCCAAACCCTCATTCTGGAAGCCCCAGCCCGGCACCACCACCAGGGGCCTGACCACGGGCCCAAGCCAGGCCCGGAGAACCGTGCCAAACTGTGCAGGGGTGCGAGCCCCCCTCTCCCCACATGGGCCTGTGGTCCTGACTGAGGGATGTGCCCGCGGGGATGGGCCGCGCAGACGGGCTGCGTGGACAGGCTCGGAAAGGGGTCGCAGTGGTGGGCGCAGGTGGGGCTGTGGCGTGGCCCCAGCTTTTCTGGGTCTCTTGCCAACCCCCCGGGCCCTGAGCCCTGCCTGCCCTCCCACCTTGAGGTGGGGTCCGCCCCCAGCCATGCTCTCCTGCTCCTACCGCTGGGACCGGGGGTCCAGGGTGTCGTGGCCTCACTGGGGCTTGGGCTCAGGCCCCCCAGGACGGCGGCGGACGTGGGCGAGACAGCCACGGCTGAGGTCTCCCCCGAGAACCTCTCAGAGACCCGAGTGACGGCCGTGACGGGCTGGTGAGGCAGCCGCAAGGAGAGGCTCACTGGGCGAGGCTTGGGCGGCTCGGGCGCCAGGAACGTCTGGGCAGCCTCCGGGGGTCCATCGCCCAGACCTGGAACACGACCAGTGGGGCGGGGTGCCAGTCAGCCATGCCATCCACGGGGGACCCAGAGCCCCCCCCAGGAGGGCTCTAGACTCCCCGAACCCTCCTCCCACCGCCTCCAGGAAGGCCTCCCTGACCTCCCACTTCCAGGGACGCCTCAACGCTCCAACCAGAGTTTACGTCTACTGCAAACTGCCCTCACAGTCAGCTCAGTAAACACCAGCTATGCTTCTCACTGCGTGGACGATTCCTCAGCCCCTGCTTGCCTTCCTCCAGAAACAGGGAAGCTCATCACCTTTCGAGAGCTCCTGTTTCCCTGTGTTTAAAAAGCTCTACTTCATCCTGAGCGAAGCTGCCCTCCTGGCAGCCTCTCTACCTGTCAGAGTCCAGGGTCAGGTCCCCTTCCAGCCAAGGGCTGGCCTGGCCCAGATGCAAACCTCCCAGCCACCCCTCCTGTGCCGTCGGCCCCTACCTGCCCCCAGCTGGTGCCCATTCTCGATGACACACGAGTCTGAGGCCTTCCTCGTCTCCAGCTCACTGGCCTCGTCCTGGTGATCCACACTCTACAGAGACACACGCCACGAGGAGGCCCCGTCAGGTAGGGCCCACTGCCCACCCCCAAAATTGCTGTCTAAAGCCCCCCCTTGTTCTGGGGGCAAACAACACCCACGTTTGAGAGGCAGCCCCCAGAACATACCGTAGTGGGCCCAGGCCACACAGCACCCTGGGGTGGACCCAGCCACACAAACGTGCCCAGAGTGCCAGGGACAAAAGATCAGGAGCAAGCATTCTGAGCCATGTACAAGGTGGCCCAGCCTTCTCCCAGACTGCTCCCCAGGCCGGGCGGGCCTGCTCATGCTGGCCGGGAGGGCCTGCTCCCCAGGCTGGGAGAGCCTGCTCACGCTGGCAGGGCCTGCTCACACTGGATGGGAGCGCCTGCTCCACAGGCCGGGCAGGCCTGCTCCCCAGGCCAGGCGGGCCTGCTCACACTGGCCGGGAGGGCCTGCTCACGCTGGCAGGGCCTGCTCACGCTGGCTGGGAGCGCCTGCTCCCCAGGCCGGGCAGACCTGCTCACACTGGCCGGGAGGGCCTGCTCCCCAGGCCGGGTGGGCTTGCTCCCCAGGCCGGGAGGGCCTGCTCACGCTGGCCAGGAGGGCCTGCTCCCTAGGCCGGGTGGGCCTGCTCACGCTGGCAGGGCCTGCTCACGCTGGCTGGGAGCGCCTGCTCCCCAGGCCGGGCGGGCCTGCTCCCCAGGCCGGGCGGGCCTGCTCACGCTGGCCGGGAGGGCCTGTTCCCCAGGCCGGGCGGGCTTGCTCCCCAGGCCGGGAGGGCCTGCTCACGCTGGCCAGGAGGGCCTGCTCCCCAGGCCGGGCGGGCCTGCTCCCCAGGTCGGGCGGGCCTGCTCACGCTGGCTGGGAGCGCCTGCTCCCCAGGCCGGGCGGGCCTGCTCACGCTGGCCGGGAGGGCCTGCTCCCCAGGTCGGGCGGGCCTGCTCCCCAGGCCGAGCGGGCCTGCTCACGCTGGCCGGGCGGGCTTGCTCCCCAGGCCGGGAGGGCCTGCTCCCCAGGCCGGGAGGGCCAGCAGGACTGCTGCTGTGGAGACAGCCATAAGCAGAAGCATAAGGTTCTCTGGGCCAACACTGGGCAAGGGGACCGAGGACGTTTCGTTGGACCCAGAGCTACAAAATTTGCCCAGGTGCCTGGAGTATGGGGGCCTGACAGGCTCCTTGGGGCCCCTCCTACCCAGGAGCCACCGAGGGGCCTGGTGTCCCAGCCGAACCGCCGACTGCCGTGTCGCTCCGCTCAGGTCTTGCCCCTTCTGGGTCTCGGTTTCCCTGCTGGAGGCAGGGCGGCTCCACACGGACCCTCTGAGCGTCTCGTGGCTGTCAGGCCCTTCTTGTGGGCGCGCCACTTAACCAACATGCTCTGTCCTCCCAGGTGCGTGTTAACAGCCCTCATTCGGCCCACAGTACCCGGGGGCTCAGCGAAGGGCTGTGAGAAGCAGCTGACTTCCATGGCCAGGAGGGACGTTCTCCTCCCTTCTCCCGGTGAGGACGTGGGGAGGGCCCAGAGGGTCTGCAAGGCCGGGGCCTGGGGGTCTGCCTGACAGGAAGGGGATCGAGGCTGACCACTACCAGGCCTCTCCTCAGAGGCCGCGATGGGCACCTGGAGAGAGTGGCCGTCCCCTCCACTAGACACCGCCGAGGTCTGCAAGGTTCCCAGATGACTAACAAAGCCCATCCCGGGCCCCAGGCGGCTCAGCCGCTCCCGCAAACAGGGCCAGCGTGGCCACGCTGCCAGGGGGGCGGGTGTCGGTCGGGAGCCAGGACCCCGAGCACACACCGCCAAGCCAGCCTGACAGTCATGCCTGCGACAGACTTCCTCCAGCCCAGCGGGTCAGGGAGGGCTTCCCAGAGGCAGCAGCACCCAAGCCAAGTCTGGAGTGAGCCAGGCGGACGAGGAGGGGCGGCCGTTCCCGGCAGAGCGACTGTGTCTGCAGAAACAGGCTTCGAGGCTGCAGCATTCCCATCCAGCGGCAGCAGACGCACCGTGCAGCCCCCAGGGTCAGCCCAGAGGGGAGGGGACACGGGCCGTGGGCAGGTAAAGGCAGGAGGACTCCCAGCTCTGGGGGTAGGGAGTGGATGCGGAGGGCGGGGAGGGGTGAGGCCTCTTCGAAGCCTGGGCTTCGGATCCGAGTGGCAAGGAGGAAGGGAGGAGCGTTGGTGGGAAAACGAGGATTGGGGTTTGGGACACGCTGAGTATAAGGTGCCCCTGGGGCAGCAGGGACTTGAGGTCAGGAGACGGCTGGGTGTCTGAGGCTGCAGTTGAAGAGGAAGGACGGGGTGAGGACGGGGGAAGGACGGAGGAAGGACGGGGGAAGGACGGGGGAAGGACGGGGGAAGGACGGGGGAAGGACGGGGGAAGGACGGGGGAAGGACGGGGGAAGGACGGGGGAAGGACGGGGGAAGGACGGGGGAAGGACGGGGGAAGGATGGAGGAAGGACGGAGGAAAGACAGGGGAAGGACAGAGGAAGGATGGGGGAAGGATGGGGGAAGGATGGGGGAGGGACGAAGGAAAGACATGGGAAGGACGGAGGAAGGACAGAGGAAGGACGGGGGAAGGACGGGGGAAGGACGGGGGAAGGATGGGGAAGGATGGAGGAAGGACGGAGGAAAGACGGGGGAAGGACGGAGGAAGGACAGGGGAAAGACGGGGGAAGGACGGGGGAAGGACGGAGGAAGGACAGAGGAAGGATGGGGGAAGGACGGGGGAAGGACGGGGGAGGGACGGGGGAATGACGGAGGAAGGATGGGGAAGGACAGGAAGGACGGGGGAAGGACGGGGAAGAACGGGGGAAGGACGGAGGAAGGATGGAGGAAGGACGGGGGAAGGACAGAGGAAGGATGGGGGAAGGACGGGGGAAGGACGGGGGAAGGACGGAGGAAGGACGGAGGAAGGATGGGGGAAGGATGGAGGAAGGACGGAAGAAAGACAGGGGAAGGACGGAGGAAGGACAGAGGAAAGACGGGGGAAGGACGGGGGAAGGATGGGGAAGGATGGAGGAAGGACGGAGGAAAGACAGGGGAAGGACGGAGGAAGGACAGAGGAAGGACGGGGGAAGGACAGGGGAAGGACGGGGGAAGGATGGAGGAAGGACGGAGGAAAGACAGGGGAAGGACAGAGGAAGGATGGGGGAAGGACGGAGGAAGGATGGGGAAGGATGGAGGAAAGACAGGGGAAGGACAGGAAGGACGGGGGAAGGACGGGGGAAGGACGGAAGAAGGATGGAGGAAGGATGGGGAAGGATGGAGGAAGGACGGAGGAAAGACAGGGGAAGGACGGGGGAATGACAGAGGAAGGATGGAGGAAGGATGGGAAAGGATGGAGGAAGGACGGAGGAAAGACAGGGGAAGGACGGGGGAAGGACGGAGGAAGGACAGAGGAAGGACGGGGGAAGGACAGAGAAAGGATGGGGGAAGGACGGGGTAAGGACAGGGGAAGGACGGGGAAAGGACAGAGGAAGGACAGGGGAAGGACAGAGGAAGGACGGAGGAAGGACGGAGGAAGGACAGAGGAAGGACGGGGGAAGGACAGAGGAAGGACGGGGGAAGGACGGGGGAAGGACGGGGGAAGGACGGGGGAAGGACGGGGGAAGGATGGAGGAAGGATGGGGAAGGATGGAGGAGGGACGGAGGAAGGACAGGGGAAGGACAGGGGAAGGATGGGGGAAGGATGGGGGAAGGACAGAGGAAGGGCGGGGGAAGGACAGAGGAAGGATGGAGGAAGGACGGGGGAAGGATGGAGGAAGGATGGAAGAAAGACAGGGGAAGGACGGAGGAAGGACAGAGGAAGGATGGGGGAAGGACAGGGGAAGGACAGGGGAAGGACGGGGGAAGGACAGAGGAAGGACAGGGGAAGGACAGAGGAAGGACGGAGGAAGGACGGAAGAAGGACAAGGGAAGGATGGAGGAAGGACGGAGGAAGGACAGAGGAAGGACGGGGGAAGGACGGGGGAAGGACGGGGGAAGGACGGGGGAAGGACGGGGGAAGGACGGAGGAAGGATGGAGGAAGGATGGGGAAGGATGGAGGAAGGACGGAGGAAAGACAGGGGAAGGACGGGGGAAGGATGGGGGAAGGACAGAGGAAGGGTGGGGGAAGGACAGAGGAAGGACGGAGGAAGGACAGGGGAAGGATGGGGGAAGGACAGAGAAAGGATGGGGAAAGGACGGGGGAAGGATGGAGGAAGGATGGAGGAAGGACGGAAGAAAGACAGGGGAAGGATGGAGGAAGGACAGAGGAAGGATGGAGGAAGGACGGAGGAAGGACAGGGGAAGGACGGGGGAAGGACAGAGAAAGGATGGGGGAAGGAGGGAGAAGCAGGAGTCTTGAGTCCCGAGCACAGCAGGGGAAGAGCGGGTCTGGGCGCATGGCCTGGGAGGGGAGAAGAGGCGTCTACAGAGGATGAGCGGTGGGAGGGGCAGGGAGACGAGCAGCAGAAGCCTGGGGGCAGAGGGGGCGTGTGTCTAGAAGGCAGGCGTGCCCACAGCACCCAAAGGTGGCCTGGTGTCAAAGAAAAGGTCGTGATGAGATCCAGACCGTGCCTGTTGGGCTCATCAGAGAGCCCGCTGGTGGGTTTAGGAACTGAATTGGGGGGGGTAGCTGGGGGAGACTCTGGCATGAGGGGAGACGGCCGGGGGGGGGGCGGTTAGAGGGGCTGTTCCAGCAGAAGAGGTGGGACAAGGGACCCTCTGCGGGGTGGGGTCCCTGCATAAGTGAGACAGGACAGGACTCAGGTGACCCCTCAACTCCTGGCTCAGGAGGGCGGGGGAGCGGCCAGGCCCCCTCGCAAGTGCAGTGCAGAAGGGGGGTATCTGCGAGCACCCCTAGAGCTGGTTTGAAGCCAACTCAGCAGAAGTCCAGCCTGAACCCCAGCCCCTACCTGTCACCAGGGCCAACTCAGCTCTGGGGTCCCCGTGTCCCCCCACCCTCCCTGCTCTGGTCCAACCAGTGCCACAGGTCCAGGTAGGAGCCTGGAGGGACAGGCAGATGGTGAAACCATTTCTCAGGAATGTGGGTCTCTTTGGGGGGGCCCCAGATGCCTGCCCCTGCACGTTGCAGGTCCCCCACCCCTGTGACGCCCCAGGGGACCAGACACCACAACCAGACAGGAAGTAGGTTCTGGGCCAGCCAGATTCCCGTCTAGGGGTCTCAGCTAGACTGCAGCCAGGGTGGGGGCTAAGCCCAGACCCCCCGGGTCCCCTGACCCTCACTCGAGGAGAGGGCTCTGTCCGTGTCACAGGCCAAGAGGCTCTTTGGAGACCACCTCCATCCCATCGGCACACAACCGGCAGTCTAAACCCCCACACTACTAAAGGCAGTGGTGGAGTCAAGGTTTGGGACCCGGGTCTCCTACCCCAACCCAAGACTCTGCCCACAAAGCACTCTGGCCTTCCACAGAAGAGAGGACAACTTGGCACGAACTTGCCCCCAGGAGCCTGGGGCAGCACGAGCCCCTGGCCCTCTGAGGGGGAGGAAATGGGGTGACGCTGGGGTAGCCACCCCAGCAGGACCTCTGTGGGACAGAGCCCTGAAACCAAGGAGCTGGGCTGGAGCAGGCACAGCCCTGGGGCCTCCAGCTCGCTCTCCCAGCACTGGGGGGCAGCCTGCCTGGGCCCCAGGTCCTGCAGAGTTCCCCATCTGGGCTTTGTGTGAAGAGGAGGGGCCCCCCTGCTAGGGAGTCCAGGCCTGGGGACCTTGGTGGGGAGGCGCGGGTGAGTGATTTCAGGGACCCCAGAGACACAGTCCTCTCTCTCACTGGGAAGTCTATAAACACTTTTGGGAGGGCGGGCACATTTCAGGTGTTCTTAGTTCTGCCTGACCCCCCCCACTCCGTGGGCAGCCCCGGAGTGACCAAGCCGGCCCCCCCAGACTGCTCCCCGCTGCCCCCCCAAGGGGTTCTCAAAGCTCGACCCAAACACGGGCCTCTGCAGCGGTGACCTCTATCACAGTGCGTCTGGGGGGGAGCAGATAAGGGAGTCTGGCTTCTCTCGCAGGCCGGCCTCGACCCGAGCTCCTGGCAGCCGTCCCTGAGGGCCTCCACCACCTCCGCCCCGAGAACGCAGCGGCCGCGGGAAACAACCCGGGCCTGGCCTCAGGCGGCCGCCGTCCACCACAGGCCCCAGCCGGCTGTGCACGCACCCGTGTGAACGGATCCGCTAACGGATCCAGCGGACGTCCCTGCTAGAAGAACCCAGTCCACCCAGCGCGAGGGGCCCCCCCAACCAGCCCGGCCCAATCCCCCTGGTTTAGACACAGACAAAGCGAGGAGAGGCTCCCAAGGCCCCACGGCAAACGTTGACGAAAGCAGCTCCTATCTGCTCCAGGGACTTGGGCCTCCTACAGGGAGTCCACCTGGTTGCTCCCACTGGCCGGCCCTCTCCCTTCTCCCAGAGCTTCCCCGGCTACAGCTCTGTCTTCTCACTTCTCACTTCTCACTCCCTAGCAAGGTCAAGGTTTGTGCGCTCGGAAGTGGATTACTCGATCAACTCTTCCCCGTTAAGTTCAGGGTGCATTTCTACGCTAAGTAGGACCCACCTCCAACACCTACAACCCCCAGTTTGAGACGGCAGAAAGCAAGAGTTTCTCTAAATCTTGCTGATATCAGAGGGGCGGGGTAACCGCAGCTCTACCTGGACCCTCGCCCCACGACACAGACACGGGGTGTGAAAGACAGCCAGCAGCCGAGTCCCTGTGCGTGACGGAGCCGCTCTTCGCAGCACAAGCGGGGATGCGCACACAGCTCCACATGGCCCCCTTCGCTGCCAGAAACCAGCTGGGAGCATGCGTCAGCGCTGGGAGAGGTGGGCTGCGTGGCAAGTGGGGACCAGCGCTTCCGAAGTCAGGCAAGGGGAAGCTGACCCCCCCGGATAGGGACCCTGACAACCCTCCTGCAAGTACTCAGCGATGCTTGTCTTTCTGAGGCCCGCAACCTACTTTCCAACTGGGTCTCCATCCCCGTCCCCCAAAGAGCCACAGCATCCCCGCTGACCCCTGACCCCAACCTTTTGATTTCCAGGGCCTGCTGGCTCCCTGGCATCTCCTCCATCTCCACCCAGGACTCCTGCCTCACCTTCTCCTTCCATGCACTTGCCCTGAAGACCTGGCCCACTTCAGGGCTTCAACTGCTAGCTCAGCTCTGGCATCTCCCGGACGTCCAGCCCCGACCACTCCTGGCACCCCAGATCCGTGGTCCACCTGCTCTGGGGCAGCTTCCCGTGGATGTCCCGTAGCCCCTCACGCGTGGCATGACCCCAGCAGATCTGTGACCCGGCAGCTCCCCAGGCAGGCTCCTGTCTGTGCCCAAACACCGCCTCCCCCTGCCGACTCCCCCTTGCAGACCTCGCCCCAAGGCAGCCCCCGGTCTCCATGCACCCACCCCCGCCCCAGGTCAGACCGTCTTCTCTCCTCGGGCCATCCCACTCAACCCACCCACCCTGTCTCCAGCCACCCTCCACCCTGACACCCATCCTTGCGGGAGCTTGCGGATGGCTACCCTGTCCCTCCCTGCCCAGCACCCCTCACCCACCACTCCCATAACCAAGAGGACCAGCTCACCTCCGGTGAGAATGCCCACTGAGGGGTACTGCTGAGGCAGATGACTGGAGAGCCCCCTCACACATGTATGAGCAAGCATGTGCAAACACACGCTTATACACATGACGCAGACGCTCTTTTTCTGAAACCTTGGGCCCCTGCTTCGGTGAACATGTGTGTTAGAACAGAACTGCAGAAACAGCCGATGACACAGTTTATTAAGCATGGGTGAGCTCACAGTGGTGATTTCATACCATGGACGTGCAGCGTGTTGTGCTCATAGGACAGAACCAGACACTTCACACCGAGCACCGGGCCACCCAGGGGCTCTACCACCACCACAGGTTGAAGGCTGCCTTGCCCCCAGGGACAAAGCCCGGCTCCCTTACCCAGCACCCAGGGGGCCCTCACAACTCACCCCTCCCCCCTCATCCCCACCGGGCTCCCCTCTGGCCAGGCAGTCCTTTTAGCTCTGCTGGGCCAGCATGCACAGCCCCCATCCCACCTCCACCTGCACCCCAGCAGGAGCCCCGGGCCTCCCGCACAAAGGCCTCCCGGGACGCCCACTGGGAAGGCGCACCCGCTCTGGGGGCCCACACGGTTGGCACTGCTCCGTCTGGGGCCATCTCCCACCCGGCTGGGAGCTCCAGGGGCAGGCGCAGATCTGATCCCCTCCTCCCGCCCCCTGAGGGGCAGCCCAGCCCACACAGGAGATCGAACGCATGAGGGACTGAACCAAGGAGGGGCAGCAGGTGCAAACGACTCAGACCCAGACCCTGGAAACCCAACCCCAGAGCACATGCCTGCGCAGAGTGGAAAACCCCACCTAAGGGCCACCGGACACACCACGGAAACATTCTCACCTGCCTCTCCAGGAGGCCCCATGCTCAGCGGGGTGACCGGTCCACACCGGTCTCCACCAGCCCAGCGGGGTCACTGACCCCAGGAAGCTAGAGACTGCTCAAGGCTGGTTTCCCGGCTCTCCTAACCCTCTGCCCGTTCCCAAACGCGGCTGCCCCGACCACACTGTGTCCTCTCTCACACACGGGGGGGGGCCTGAGTTCTCAATCTGGGTTAATTAATAACGGGAGTCGTCAGGCCTCAGCGAAGCGGCAACGCGGGGGGCCCGTGAGTGGAGGCGGGGGAGTCGGGGGCTGCTGGCCCCTCGGACACGCCGGCAGCGAGGCCCAGGCGGCGCTGAAACGGTCAGGGGCCCTATCTCAGCGCCCAGGCCCTTAGCGTCATGGGACAAAGGGGAGAGGGAGACAGAACTCCGCGCAAAGAGAGGAGGGGGCCCGAGACAGGTGCAGCGCGCAGGCCCCGCCGGCCCCCTCCCGCCCCCGAGCGCTGGCCGGACCCCCACAGCGAGTCCAGCGGCCGGCGGCGGCACCCCAGCCCAGCAGACGCGCGCGGGCCGACGCACGCACTCGCCGAGCAGGGGCGGCCGCCCGAGGCGCGCAGCCCCCCGCCCCCTGCGCCCGCAAAGCGGCGCCCGCGCTCCGCGGGGCTCACCTGGCTGCGGCCGGACAGCGAGAAGGCGGCGTGGCTGGCGAAGCGCGCGCTGCCCAGGCGGGGCGCGCGGCCGGGGACGCCGGGCGTGGGCGGCGGGCTGGGCGTGCCGGGGGTGCCGGCCGCGGGGGGCTGCCCGCTCCCCGCGCCCAGCGCCTCCACCTGCCGCGTCAGGCGCTCGAGCTGCGCCTGCAGCCGCCGGTTGTCGCGCTGCAGCTCGGCCACGGTGCGCGCCAGCGGGCCGGCCAGGCGCAGCGCCTCGGCCACACGCCGCTCCACGCCGCGCTGCAGCCCCTGCATGTCCTCGTGCAGCGCGCGCACCGCGCCCTCCAGCGCCGCCTCGTAGCGGCCCAGCGCCTCGCGCACCGTGCGCGCTTCCTCGGCGTCGGGGCCCGGCTCCATGGCGAGCGGGGCGCGCGTCCGAGCGCGGGCCTGGCGGGAGGGAAGTCGCGCTCCTCCGCAGCTCCGGGCCGCGACTGGCCGCCCCGGGCGGGCTGGGCCGGAGGGCCGGTGGGAGGGGCGGGCGCCGCGCGGGGGCGGGGCCTCGGGCGGGGCGGGGCCGGGCGCGCGGGCGGGGCGTGGGGGCCTCGGAGGCGCCGATCGGGGAGCGCCGGGCGCCGCTGTCCGGACGGGCGGGGCCGCAGGGCGAGCGCGGGTCCGAGATCCCCCCTGCGACCCCGGGGGGGCGGCGTGCGGCCTGGGCGAGGGCCGGAAGAAGCCCCGGACCCCCGAGGGCACTTTACCCTGGAGACCACAGACGCGGGTTATGCATTCCCTCGGGGCTCTCACCCGCGCGGCCCGGTCCCGCTGGGGGTGCGGACTCCCCCACCGCTCAGAGAGAGCTGAGGGCAGCAGTCGCCCCCAGAACTGCCGCCCCGACCTCGCCCCATCCTGGCCCCTGCCCTCTCTGCCGTGTGGGCACGGCTCTCAGGAGCACAGACTCACCTGGCGGAGCCTTGCCTGGAATCTCTTGCACCTGTTGTGAAGGCCAAGGGAGCAGGAGACCCGTGTGAGGTCCCCTCCCAGCCCCACTCTGTGTGGCTCCATCTTTGCGTTCTCACCAATGGTCCGAAAGGGCTCCAGCCTCACCAAGGGACCCCTGGTGGGAGATCCTAGTAGGGGATCCAGGAGAGGCTGAGGTCTGGCAGAGAGGGAATGGTGCACTGAGGGCTGAATCTCCAAATCCTGGGATGAGTGAGTTTTGGACTAATGGGCCCTGTTCCTCCATCAGAGTCTCAGTCACCTGTCTCTATCCACAGGCCAGGGCTCCCACCGCTATTCCCTCTTAACACTCCTTTCATGCCTAAACCCAGACATTCCTCCCCTCCAGCCTCCCCCACCGACCAACCCCACAAGAAAGAATGGAAACAATTTTTGCTTCCGGAGGACCGGAGGGATGATGAGCAAAGATACTCTGAGTTTCTGTGTCACTGTAATCTGTTTTAAAATAAAAATGGGAACATCCCATCCTTTTCGCAAAAACCTTTCCTGACTAGCCTTCTCCTTAACAGGCCAGGCCCACCTGAAGGAGGTCAGATGCCTCAGGAACAAGAGGTCTGCCAGGCTTGTTCCTGTCGTGTTAGGCTTCCTGGACTGTGGATCAGCCTGACAGATGCTGAGCGCAGATCCCCCCCCTTGCTCCCCTCCACCATGGGGACACTAAGGAACGCTGGGTTACCTAATCCAAGGAGCCTTCCAGCAATTATTTCATGAGAAAGTCAAGTGCCAAAAGGCATGCATGTTTCATGTGCGTGTGAGTGTGTGTGAGTGTGTGTTCCAAGTAGCCGTCTGCACAGGGTGAGCCAAACCGCTCCCTGCCTTCTTTCTCCGGGCAGAACCTTTGGGAGAGGCTGGGAGAAGCTGGGCGAGCCTTCCCCCCACCCCCACCCCCCACCCCCCCAGCCAGCACTCATGGCCCCTGCAGGTCTGAGCACGGGAACCAGAGGTTGAGAGAGCCCATCTCAGCCAAAAAAGCCCATTTCCTTCCTTTGCAGGACCCATGGAAGAACCGTGTGATGAAGTCCTGGGGGGCACTAGCAGGTGTGACCTCCTGGGCATGAGCCTGCAGCATCCATGGGGGTGGGCATGGGCAGGGGTCTCCCCACCCTCTCCTGCCTCCCACCTCGGGTGAGTTGTCTGCTGTCCCCAGCCACCAGGAGAATATTTGGGAGGAGCTGCTTAGGGGCAGGGCAGGGCTCCCTCTGCTGCGGAAGTGGGGACTCTGTCAAGGGCAGAGATGGGGCTCGCTGTGGGTTCTGGGAAGGTAGACAGTCCAAGAAGCAAACCGTCCCCCTGGCCCCTCCCCCTCAGCTGTCAGGCCACTGAGTCAGTAGCTGGAGAAGAGCCTGGGAGAGGAGAGCTGTACCAGGAGCGTGAAGAGAGGGGCAGAGGGGCAGGGACGGACGGAGGTGGGGGAGGGGGAACCAGGAGATTCTGGGATGGGGGGGGCCTGGGAGAGGTGGCCACTGGGCTCCAGCTCAGCACCCGCCCTCTACCAGGCCGTGAGGGAGGGCAGGGCTGCCTACTGATGGGGCCACACTCCCTCCACGTTCACCAGCCCTGAGGTCAGCAAGCTTGTCAGCCTGGCCTCCCCCCAGGTCCAGGGGGGCTCTGGTGTGGTGTTTCCAGGCCCCCCTCACCTGGCGCCCACCCCCCCCACTGCCTGCTGGGCCCCTGACCTGCTCCTGTTCTAGGTTGGAAGCTGGATGTGGGACAAGCCTTCCCCAGGCCCCTGGCCTCCTGTGACTTCTCAAAATCAAATCCTTGCCAGGCCACAACTATGAAGTCAGGGAAGTCAGTCACGGACCTGAGATGGGGAAACTGAGGCCCTCTTCCTCTTGGGGCAGGACTTGAACCCCTGTCCCCAGATGGGGCATCCTTCTTCCAGCATGCTAGTCCCAAGGCACCTCCCTGGGGAACTGTCACACTCGGCCAAGTCTGGGCAGCTCCTGTGTGCTCCCCGGGCCGCCTGGAGGCTACACCCCCCCAGCATTGCTCCTCCGAGGGCTCCAGCCACCACCCCCATGGCCCTCTGGCAGTGGTCCCCGAGGACCACTCCCTCCTCCTCCTCTCTGTCTCCTGCCCCAGGGACCTTCCTGAGGGACTGTTCTTGCACTCATCCCTCAACCATGGTGGGCCCCCTCTCACCTGCATGCCCTGCCTGGGTAGAATCACCCACCCCACACCCATGCTGAAGATCTCCACCGCTTCACCTCCGGCCCCCCTCCATACCCACCAGCCTTCAACCTTCTGCCCTGGAGGTCCCACCTGCTCCCAGACTCCTCAGTTCCTGAGATCACAGGTCACATCAGGCTTACCGGGACGGGGAAAGGACAGAGGAGGGGAATGCTCAGACCTCCACACTCCTCTGCCCGCCTGGCTGGTACCACCCCTCCCCCCTCTGCACCCCGGGTCCATGTGCATGGGCACCGGGCGTACATGCACTTGCATGAGCATGTAGCACCCCCTCCTCAGAGAGAGGGTCTCTGTCTCAGCCATTCATCCATCCCCACACCTGGGACAGCACTGGCTTTAGAAAGTGCTCAGGAAACCCTGGGTGATTGGATGCCTGGGCAGAGGGGGCTCACCGACAAGCCCGTGGGGCCAGAAGGACTGCTAGATGGGTGGACGGTAAGCAGAGAGACGGAAGAGATGCTTGGGTACTTGGGAGGTGTGGGGGTGCCATTTGGTAAGATGGGTCAGAGGGTGCATTAGAGGGAACGGTGAGCCCTGGGGACTCACAGGGGCTGCACACAGCCCGTCTCCAAGGTCACCTCAGCCTTTGCACTAGGGATCCCTCCAAGCCCCTGTGTCAAGAAGGGCTCAGGTTGGAGGGTCACAGGCCAGGCCAGACGGGCCTGCCACACCCTTCATGCAGCCCTCAGCTTGTAGGGCAGCGAGCTGGCCCGGCAGTCCGGCTTCGTACCCGGGAAGGTGCAGAAAGCAGCCACACCCCACACCTCGTGCTCCACTTCTTGGAGCCCTAACAAGGGATCCAAGAAGTGCACTCCAGGCCTGGGTCCAGACATATCCCCCACCACTCCTCCTCCCAAATCCTGAATCCAGCCTCCGTCCTGGAAACCGTCACCTTGTTACAAGATCCATAGGAGTGGGATGCAGGGCGCATATTTACCCTGTCCTGCCAGGCTGCTGGGCTCGGGAGCCAAGTGCCGAGGGAGCCCGGGGAGGCTGTGAAGGAGGGGCGGGCAGCCTCGGAGTCTTGTCTCCAGCCGGGACCCAGGAGAGGGGCACGTGGGGTTCTGCCAGTGGGAAACAGCACCGCTGGCGCTGATCCTGGGACCCTGAGGCCCCCGGGAGTTTGGGCAGGGAGTCCTGTCCCTGGGTCACCCCAGCCAAACCTCAAACTTTGTCGCTCCATCCCCAGGGACACTCGCCCGCCACACACGAATGTGTAACGGTCATCTCTTCCCCGTGCACCTGAGGGCCTGCCTGCACGCACACCCGTGGGCGCGTCTGTGGGGGAAACGCGGGCGTTACGGGGTCTGTAGTGCTTGCTCACTTACCTGCACGCGTGCGCACACACTGCGTGGAGGGCACACGTACCTGTTTGTAGGGGGGCTCTTCATGCGTTTGCTCGTAGGTGCTGAGCGTGTGTTTCTGCACACACGTGTGTGGGCCTACGGTACACGTACCAACACAGACGCTGGGATGTGTCCATGACGCTAACAGGACACGCGTGCATGTCACGTGTCTGAGCGTGCAGCCCTGTATCAGACGTGTGCACCACACGTCCGGGGCCCGTGTCCGGCAGACCCACAAGTCCGTCTGTCCCTGGAAGGGGCCAATCCTGGGTGCTGCAGGCTTCTCTGCACATAAAATGCTAAGGGTGGCCCTGGTTTGGGGACGCAGTGGTATCGAGCTGGACGTCCCACCCCCCTGGACCCTGGTTGGGCCTCTGGGTCCCAGTGGAAGAGGAACTTGCCATGGGCCTCTGCTGGGGCTCAGGCTAGCCGGAGAACAAACACCACACATCCCGGGCTGGAGTGGCTGAGGTCCTCGCTGCCGACCCAGGGGCTGGGGAGGGTGTGGAGTGGAGACAGCTGCTTCCAGCCCAGATAAGGCCATTGGCTCACATTTTCCATTTCCAGGAGCCCCAGCCCCTAAGCCCTGGCCCCACGGCCTGGGGAGGTCTCCACTGCCTGCACCCTGGGAACTGTAGCCCCAAGAGGGGACATGGAGGTCTGGGAAGAGCCAGCACCCTGCCAGAGCATATGCCGCCGGGCCCCTGGGCTCTGGGGAAGAAGGGTCTCAGGACAGCCTGGAGCCCTCACAGCTCACATCCTGACCCTCAGGCCTCCAGAAGCCGGCTGGGGATGGGAGGAAGGAGGACGGCCCCTCCTCCCTGCCCCCATGGACTCCACCCTGTTGCTCCTGCCCCAGGGACCCCGCCACCCAGGGGCCAGCAGTTGTCGTTAGTTTGGCGTGGGGGGGTGGGGGCAAAACTGGGCCTCAGGCTCTGGGCTCCTTCTGCCTT